AATAGAATCTTATCTATTCGTAATGATGTTTATATTGTCCATCTAATATGGAAACATTTTCATAATTTCCAATACTATACTTCCAACTACTCACAAGCGACCAATTCTCGTCGAACTTCGAATCGTCCTTTGATAGTTGTTTAATTATTTTAGTCAAAACCAATTCTAGTCCCTTTTCCCTCTAAAAGGGCTGGACATTTGGAAAATTTTAGAATGGTCAAACATTAAAGCATTTGCAATCGATCCTATACCCGAAGCGTATGGGACACGACGCACAATGTTTTATTTTCTATGTTCTCAAAATTCGAATCGTGAAGAGGAATGCCGTAATCATAATCGAAATTTTAAGAACACACTATGTACCTTCGACTAAATTTATTAACATTCCACAACCTAATCCTTTAGATTTGAAATGAAGCATAATATTCTCTCCCTTAATTATAGCAAAACAACTATTCCATCCTTACGACTTTGCAAAGAATGACTCTTGTTTTCTATAATTAATATTGCCAATTTGCAATACTTTCCATAATAATCATACACTCATAACATTTATGCTACCACTATTATGATGATTACTATAAAACATAACACTTATGCTCCCACTAGCTTTAACATGTATTCATAAACATCTTAACTTTCAGAAAGACAATACCTATTGAATTTCTTAAGTCCATGTTTCTAATACTTAGTGTTTTGATAATCTTTTATCAAGGCTTCTTGAACTTATACACTTTTGCCTTAGATAGTGCATATGTGTGTCTTAACAATTAAGACTAATTGCCAAACCTCACAATTCAAATTATGGAAAGGGATATCGTAACCATGATTGAATTCGAGAATGCAACTTTACAATCACTATCTTTTTAAAATCTTTCTTAGTGAAAGCATTTCCTCACAATCATTTTCATGAAGGAGGAAATCTTATGACACTTAGATTTTAATGGTGTATATATTCCTATCCATGTGAATTTGTTAAAACCAGAGTTTACGACAAATTCAAACTCATATGGACCGAACTCTTTTAATCTTGATTTCTTGCCTTATGGTAGCACAACTGCCCACCACGTCTTCCAAGTAGTTAAGCAGCTCACCCTTTCCTATCAATGTTCCTTTCATTGATTAAGGTGCCTTGCCTTTTATGCATTCAAAATGAGAACTCATAGAACTCGCATGCATAATTAACTCAATTGGATACAGCACAGAAACAAAATAATGTCAACACGATAGGTTGTAAACCTCAACTCGTGGGCTAGTGATGATCGATAAGGTTTATTTGATTTTTTCTTGAAACCTTTCCAGACCAATAAGACTCCTACTGACTCCTTGACATATAAGATTATTTTGTCAATAACCATTTATTGACAAACAAATATTCAAGAGTTAGTGTAGTTTTTATCAAAACACTTCATAAATTGGTCCTATTTGATCTTTGTCTTCTTCAAGACATCACAACTTTCCACATTTGATGAATGTTATAAACCTTTTAATACTTTTCACTCATTGTCACAATCTTAACTTTAAGACTTTTTATTGGAATGAAGTATGATTGACTTCTTGATTTAACCATTTCTTCAATTCTTGAATCCTCTTCTTAATTGTACTAAGACTCTCTTAGAGGATCAATTGAGATATGGTTCTTAATCATTAAGACCTATCATAAAGCATAAAAGCTACTCTCCCTTCTTCTTAGAATGGAGAAACTCTTATCTTTCTGCCTACTTGATTCTTCTTATTCGTTTTGCTATTGATCTAAACCCTTTAATCAATTCAAAATTACACCTATTCTTATAAGTATAATCATATTTACTAAACCTTTAGTAAATCATGACGAATATCTTTGTTACTCTTATGGTGAACTTAATCAACACACAACTTTGTGTACTTGATCTCCTAGTCCTTCACTTGACACTTTGTCATCGAATTTCTCTAATTTCCAGATATGAAATTTCTCATTCATCATGCAACCAAGTTGTGTGATTCCAAATTTCAGTCCAATTGAAACTTTGGGCGATGAGAAACTCTCCCTATTTGGTAAATTCTCGACATTTCCATATATAACATAACTAAGAATCATATCCATTCGTTGTAGAAATATTCAAACATCAATTTTCATAACGATTTCATTACAAGGAAGTAAACAAATAAATAAATAAGTCAAAATTTATTTTATTTATAAAAGCAGCGGAAAAACATTTGTCCTTACAATGCAAAATCTATTGAAAACTATGTAGAAGGAAAATTTCTATCATAACTATCTAAGCTCAAAATCCAATCTTCAAGTCCATGCGATCAAGATCCATCTCTTGTGATTAGATTCATCTTGCTCTCTTATCAAGCTTCCTTTCTTTTCACCGATCCTTCAAAACATTCAAATGCATCTTATCACATCATGTATTAAGAATCAATGAATAGGAACTTAACGGAGTTAGATAGTGGATTTTACCTAAAGCGTAGCCATACTTTTGACTCTCCCATCTCTTAGATCTCTTAGGTAAATAGGGCAACTTTCCTCTCCAATGCCCCTTCACTTGGCAATAAAAGCAAATTGACTCTTTTGGAACAACACATGGAACTACTTCAGACATCGCCTTTCTCTTATGATCAAACTTTTCGATCATTGCATGTCTTTCATTGCCATTGTCTATATCCATAGAGGTCTTGAAGGCAGATTCACCAATCAACTTTGCTTTTCTATTGCGCCAAACCATTGCTGATCACTACTAGAAAAAAGGCCTTTTATGATGCTCATTGCACGTCGTAAAACGCTCAGACGACGTGCAAATGCGTGTCAAGGAAGGCCCTGTCATAAAGAGAGACGACGCGCTTTTGCGTGTCGTCTATAGACGACGCGCTTTTGCGTGTCGTCTATAGACGACGCGCATTTACGACGCGCATTTAGGACGCGCATTTACGACGCGCGGTTATGACACGCAATGCGTATCAAGGAAGGCCCTGTCATAAAGGAAGACGACACGCATTTGCGTGTCGTAACCTTATGACGCGCGTGTTTATGACACGCAATGCGTATCAAGGAAGCCCCAGTCAAGAAAGGCCATGTCATAAATGAAGATGACACACATTTTTGCGTATCATAATTTTAAATGTTTAAAAAAATATTATTTATAGATTTGCTTATTTTCAAATTAAATTTGTATTTAATGTTTAATAATAGATAATAAAATATCATATACAAAAATAGAATCCATTGCATAAATTTAATGTCATACAAATAATCGTTCCATATGTAAACAAATATATACCAAAAACATCATGTCAAAAAATTGTAATACATTTATATTAAGGGGATCTAATTGTACATTGTTATTAAGAGGTTTTCCCTAAATATATAACATAATACTAAATTGCTATTAAGGGACACCTTATGCAATGTAATGCTATACAAACTAAAAAGATATATACAAAGATGATAAACATCAAATTCCAACTAAGTAGAGTTGAATCTTGCCTTTCATACTTCTTTAAGACTAATATTGAACCCCTGTTCCGATAATTCTTGTGACCTGATCAAATAAAAGTCAAAAATTAATATGTTAATACAATTATTAGAAGAATCAAACTTGGAATGTTAGTTGTAAAAGACGAAATTACCCTTTTCTCCATCCAAAGAATTTGGGATTTGGAATAAATACACTACAATATGAATTACCTAATATCAACAATGACAAACACAATGACAAGAATACCCGCATACAAATGGCAAATATTATCTGTAAAGCTATCAACAATGATATTCACAATGACAATCTTTGATCATATAAACTAGAGAGTATATCATCACAATTCCATCTAACACCACCTATTAGAACACGTAAAGCTACTCAACCAACATATCATGTCATGTAATGTATTTTTGTCAGTATATCTTCACATAGAAAACAAAAGTGAAATAAATAAAAATAACAACCTTCTCATTTACTGAAAATGGATATTGTTCACATATATGGGAGCCATTTTCAGAATTACCATCCCCATTTACCTGAAATCATTCATGCCATTTTAACTCAAATAATTTATTTATAGTAAAAAAAATAAATATTTATAATTATAGTGTTTTGATTATATAATATATACCCATCTGTCACTGACTCCTCATTCGTCATAAGAATGAACAAATATTCTAATTAATTACCTTGAAATGATAATAATATAAATACTATAACACCATGGCATGGTATATTTGAATAATACCTAGTGTAGCATCCAAGATAAGACGTTGACTTGTTGCTTGAGCAGATTTTGCAGTGTATGCTTTAAGGGCATCATCCCACCGTTGCAGCTTTTAATACCTTGTATTTGGAAGCAACATAAACAATTAATATTTTAAGAAAATAAGACAATGTAAATGATTTCAGGGTCCTGGAAATATACCATGATTCCTTCAGTTGTAAATCCAAACAGCATCCCATATATAGTTATATACTTAAGAGAGTGAAAAAGGAAAGTGAGCTAGTTTCTATATATGCTTACCCTCCAAAAAGATAGAAGTGAAAGTATCCAAAAGAAAGCACTTATCCACCTTGATTCCTTATATGCAATCCACACCTAATCAAAAGAAGCAATCAAACATTATTGTTATAACAAAAGTCGAAAAATCTCCTTTTCACTATAGTTGGAAAGTATATAATAAACAAAGACTTACTGCTACAATGACAATACAAAAATAGAAATCGGTTGTTGTTGCTATCATGCACCTGTGAGCATTTACAACTATGTATGAGCATTTACTATTACACTTTTTTACATAAATTAAATAAAAGGGAAATTTTAAATGATACCTTGATAATACATTGGCATTGAATGTAGATCCATCAACGATAAGCACATAAATAAAAGTTCCCAGCATCAAGTAGCCTAGTGCAGAAATGATTATTTTTGCAATTAAAACAAAATGTCCCCTTTTGTATCCCATGGCATCCCTACATAAGCCAAATATATAATAAAATTACAAGCATTTTAGAAAACATTTTTACTTGATTTTAGTTTTTGTTATCGTTATTGGACATGTCCCTCAAAAGATATAATGGATCCTTTGATGATTCTTCTGGTGAAAACTTAAAGAACTGCAGAGCCACGTATCATTTGTAATAGGGCTGTAGAAGGAATGAAAATTTACTTAAAACATGTTACACTTGTAATTAATAGTAATAATAATAATAATAATAAAGTTTAATTACCTTCCTGCAAAAAGTACAACAGGTATCAATACAGCTGCCTTGATCCAACATGATTCCTTGTAGACTATCCAAGCCTAAGATTGCAAGTATATACACAACCACATATAACTCCATTTGATTCAACAAGCTTGTAACACCATGGTCAAGATCAGTTCCAAAATCCCCAGTAAACACGCCACCTGAATAGAACTGGAAACCCATGCCACTGGCATCAATGACAACTGATACGGGTTGATTAGCGACTGCGTGTAACAATGCGGATTCACTGTTGGCTGGCACTTTTTCATACCCAGTAATGGTGGCAGCATGGACAGCTTCTTCCTTGGTGTTGCAGGTTCCATCTGTTGCCTGATATGGGTAAGCCACCTCAGTGTTGATGCCTTTGTTTTTAACGATAAACTCAAAGCCATCTTCCATCTCGCCACCATCACATCCTCCGTTTTGTTTTTGGGGGGTTTTGATTGGTGTTTGTTCCTTTAGGGTTCCGTTTTCAGAATGGATTCCTGTAATCAAAGATTTTGATATTAGTATGGAATTGAGTTCCAAATATTCAAACTGCAGTAAAAGAAATGATCTTACTGTTACCGTTTTCCATAGAGCGGCCATTTAAAGGAGGGGAAGAAGCAAACCCAGTGTAATCACCTGAATTCAAATAAAAAAAATGATTATTTTTATTTTTAAGGTAGCAGCAGAAAATTAGTTTACCGTTTGTTTGTGCTGGAGAAGATCCGTTTTTTAATTTTTCAGCAGATGATTTGCCAGGCCATTGTTTAAGAGGGAGAATAACCAGAGCTCTTGGATTCTCCCTTGGAATAAAAAGAGCATCTGCTTTTGGTGTGCTGGTAGTCTCTTCATCATCACTAAAAAATGAAACCTGTAATTGTAAAAAAAATAAATCAGATCCATAAAAAACAATAAGGGCAAAATAGTCAATATAACAACAGATATTACCTTTGACCCATCGTTTTTCGGGTGATACTTTCTAGCACCCCACGAATTTTTTACCAACCAGTACTTCATGCCAAAGCTGTGTATATGATGTATTCACCATCACCACAGACAACAACATACCTCCTATTTGGGTTGTGCTTCAAGCTCTGTGGAAAAATAGAAAAGTCAAAGTCCATATGGTTGACTATTTTCAGTTTAAAGGAAGGTAGGAACAAGCATAACTCACTTGTGGATAAAGATCACATGTTCCCAGTTCTTTAACTGCTAAAGGCAGCCTCTCTCCATCAGAAACCTGAATAAAAAATAGATTTTTTTCCCATTTCATTGTTAACATAACATAACATGTATATGGGCTTTAAAGTCCAAACCTCATGATCAGCTCCCACACTCTTGATGTTAATAGTTTGAATTTCATTATGTTTAGCCCATATAATTTTTCCACTATTGTCCATGCTGGCTACAGGCTCTTCACGTCCAATTTTCACCATTATGGTTCCTTCATCATAGCCAATAACAATCCTGTAAAAACAGTAATTAAAATAAATCCAGATGAATGAAGAAGCATCAAGATTCAAGACCCACAAAACAAAAAACAAAAAGTGCTATACAAACTTACCGATGTGAACCTTTCATGTATCCAACAGCCCAAACCCTTTCAAGTCCATAGTTCAAGGTGTTCTCAAGTCTGAATAAAAAAAAAAGAGTGGCATAAAGTCAAAAAGTTTACATTTTTAACATATGTATAACGAGGGTATTTTGGTCTTTTGATAGGAAATAAAGAAAGAAATTGAATTCCTTCCATCCATCAAACATGGAATTTGAAGGAATCCAACAAAAATTGAATTCCATCCATTTGGAAACCAAACACACCATGGAATGGAATCTAGCATTCCGATTCTTTTAGAATCTACAAAACAAACACACCCTTAAAGGTAAAAAAACAAGAGCTCACATGTAAGTGGTTGAATGCCATATACGGACAGTACCATCTTCTGAACCTGTCATTATTATTGGAAGCTTGGGATGGAAACATACAGCAGAAACATTGTGTGTGTGACCTTCTAGAGTTTGGACACAGGTTTTAGTTAGCAACTCTACAGTAACAGATCACAGTTGTGACCGTATTGCTGGATTCTCATATTGAGATAGTAAAGGGAATCAAATCAGTTTAGAAATTGTAAGTAAATGAGATTCAATTCCTATTACATAAATTAAATTCCAACTCCTAAACACTAAATTGATTTTTTTATCATTATCAAAACACAATTGGCTGATTACTACTCATGTGTATGTATAATAATAGTAAATTGAATCTAATAGGAATACATAAATTTTTATTTACCTGTGAGGTTGTCACTGTGGCAGGTTGCTTTGAACCTTGTTCATTAATCTTTGGACAATCCCCTTTTGGTTCAAACATTTAGTCAACACCTAGTGTGCATAAAAAAATCAGGTACTTATATCATAAAATATTAACAATTCCATGAAAATATATGAGAGAGGGTAAAAAGGCACAAAAAATCGTCCAAAAAGAAGGACCAGTAGGACATGAAACAGGTAACTATGGTTGAAAAAGGAAGAATTACCTTTGAAATAGGCCTACTACGCAGATGAAATAGGCAACAGTGGTGGTATAGTGGTGGTTCTGGCTGTTGCGAAGGCAGTGTGGTGGTGGCTCAGGGCTGGTGTTGTGGTGCGATGTTGTAACGGTGGAGTCTGAAAGCAAACACAAATTGTGATGGAAGCTATTGTTGTTGGTGATGTCCGATTCATCAAAAGAAAATCATTCTTCGATCAATCTTCTATTTTGTGAAAGAAGATATTACTATTTCAAATGTGTTATGTTTGATTAGGGTTTGCACATAGAAGGAAGTGAAAGTCGATCGGAGAGGAAGGGGTTTGCAGAGAGAAAGAAGGGAGAGAATGAAGTCGATTTTGGCGGGTGTAGAGAGTAGAGAGGAAGAGGAAGCGGGTGTTCAAAATTTTGGGGGATTTAGTTTCCCCCCTTACCTATCAAGGAGTCCCAGAAACGTGCGTTTATTAAAATTATAAAGCGACATTTGTAGAGGACGCCCGTTTTATTATAGGTGCCCTCCGTGTTTTTAATATTTTTACATGAGACACTAATTTAAGGGCACTCAGTAATGCGCAACCTAAATCCTTAAAATTTTTGAAGAGATGACACTTTTTTAATGTCGCCCCTCTAATGCGTAACATAAATCAAAGAGCGTCGTGCTTTGCGCGTCGTAAAAGGCCTTTTTTCTAGTAGTGGATTCAGCAGCAATAAGCATATAGGTGATATCAATAAGGGTCACGTCGTGGTTCATCATATAGTACTCTCTTACGAACTCACTATACGAGTTAGGAAGTGACTGAAGAACCTAATCAACAGCCATCGCTTCAACGACAACGGATCCCATCATTCTTAACCTATCAATGTGTGACTTCATCCCTAAGACGTGTGCACACACCAACTTGCCTTCTTTATGTTTACTTGCCAAAAGGGCTTGAGTGATATTGAACCTTTCAATTTTACAATCTTGTGGGTTAGGGAGAATAATTGGAGGAGGAGGAGGAAGTGAAGCATGATTTCTTGTTCCTCGATCGAATCGTGGAATATTATCTTCATGTAGAATGCTTGTTCCACGGGATTTGGGAAGACCATAGTTGTCAAACTTTGACATCTACAAAACGGGAGAAAACAAATTCAAGTTAGTTGATCGATTGAGTCCTTAGTAAATCACCCAAATGAGATACTAAGGCTAGAACCCAACACAATACGCTACAACCTAGAAAAGGGATGCCGTAATCTAGTTGCAGAATATTTGAAGGTAAGTGAATGACGATTCACTAATTTCCACCATGAAAAACGAAAAAGAAATTTAAGTTTTAAATCTATGAAAACTCCTAGATCCTTTGAGATTCATTGAACTTTCAATGGCATGTTTAAATCTCGATATGCCCCTCTTGTTTGTGACTGGGATGCCGAGGATCACAAAGCGGGTGTGAATAACCATGCAAACTTACATGGTGCCCTCACATGTTACAGTCACCTATTCGATGTGCCGGTAAACCACACACGCTCCACCGAACTATGACAAACATTGAGTCACCCTTTGCTACCTTTGCTTAGAACCATTTAGTGTGCCGGTAAACCACACACGCTCCACTAACGTCTTCGCAAGGGCACAAAGTGTAATTTCATGGAATTGCATCAATTCACTTTTGCCTAAGTAACTAAGATTGGGAATTAGAAAAACATTTAGTTACTTTGTATTTCATTATACTTATAATGGAAGGTTTCGTCCTATCCTACCCGTTCGGCTAACGACCCTCCACTAGTCAAGAGTGTGGTGGGTAAGAGTGGATACCCATTCAATCGCCATTTTATAGGCAATTTCCTTAAACACCCCTTATAGACCAGCTTCGTGAATGAGGCCTACTAACGGTAAGACTGACTTTTACTTATACATATATATTAGACTATATATATATATATATATATATATATATATATATATATATATATATATATATATATATATAGTATAGGGTGCATTTCATACTTTTAAAATACTATGTGGTTAACTTTAACAATTACACTTTTAATTCAATTAAATGGTTAACCTAAACTTTTATGGATTTATTAAATCTCTTTTAATTATACTCCTTAATTAATTAATAAAACCATAAGGGTGTATTTGAACTTTTCAAAACTAGGGTTTTAGAATTTAACATTCCTAATCAACTTTTAATCAACTTTTAAATTCCAAAACTTGAGGGCAAGTTTTGAAACATTTCAAAACAATTTAGTTTTAATCTATCTTAAAATTTCGAATTTATGACATTTAAATTTAAAATTTTAAATATTAAAACTCTTGATTTAATAATTATCTTAAATTAGACTATTAATTTAATTATTAAATCATAAGGGATTATCTAAATAATGAGGATAATTACCATTTATACATTTAAGTTATCCTAATTCCTTAAATATCTATATAGATTTCGAAAATATGGATGGATAATGCAAGATCTTGAATTACCATATATAATAATTAGAGGATAATGACAAGATATGGGATAATCCAAATCCCTAAAAATTAGGATCTTATCTTGGGGAGGAGGCAAATTTCGAAAAACAAGGGATTATAACAAACCCTAGATTTCGAAATTTAAGGGTTTAAGGAAAGGATTTGAAGATCTTATTCACTCTTGCAAATTAGGGTTTGCAAACCCTAATCTCGAAAAACCCTAGCCTCTTAGGGTTTATTGGCAATAAACCCTAATATTAGGGTTTATTGGCAATAAACCCTAATATATCAAGTTCATACAATTGAAACCAAACCAATGGCTCTGATACCACTGTTGGGTTTTGGTCATAAGACATCCTATGTGCTCATACAAACCCTAATGCTTGGATCTAGGTTTCTCTATTGTACATGCTTTGAATCCAAGACTATAAACCCTAATTCTAGCATATGGAAATCAATATTAACATATAATTAGGTTTAAGATATTACCTTGATTGTTATGTAGTAATAACAATCCCAATTCCTCCTTTAATTGACTTTGGAATGCTTAAAAGTCACAAGTGTCACTCCTCTAATGGCTTACAAACACCAAGAGCAAATGGAGAAGGTATAAAGAGAGAGGAGAGAGGTTAGAATTCGTCTCTAGGACTTCTTGGGAAGAGATACACAAATTCATGAGCCTTAGGGCCTTTATATAGGTGTAGAGATAGGGTTTCAGTCATTATCCTTATCTAGTTGCTTATCCACAAAGCAACCCATAAGATAATCCTTGAATCCTTATCATAGTCGAATTCTAAGGCATTATCTCCTTAAATTCGTTCACCCTATATATAAGATAATCCTTACCTTATTTTGTAACTATCACATAATTACAAATCAGACCCTCTAGTTTAATTAATTACACTTGATCACAAAATTAATTCCTAATTATTGACCAATATTAATTAAACAAATATGATTTCTCCTTTAATATATTATTCTTATAACATATTAATAAATCATAATAACCTCTCTCTCTTTATATATACTTCTCCAATCAAGTTGCTTTGGTGAAGGCAACCCAAAAGGACCATGCACCATCGGGTCAAGTACATACCAAAATAGTTATGGACTTAGACACTAATCCAACAACCTTCTCACTAATGGCTAAGATCAAATCTATAAGGGTTATGTTACCCATAGCTATGTTTCATGATTATGAAATCTGACAGATGGATGTCAAAACCACTTTCCTTAATGGAAAGCTAGCTGAAGATGTTTACATAAGTCGGCCAGAGGGTTTTGTGGATGCTAAGTATCCCAAATAGAGCGTTTAAGCTTGAGAAATCAATCTATGGATTGAAACAAGCTTCTTGCAGATGGAATCTTTTCTTTGATGAGAAAGTCAAAGAGTTTGGTTTCTCTAGGAGCAATGATGAGTCTTGTGTATATGTCAAAGCTAGTGGGAGTATAGTTAGCTTTCTAGTGTTGTATTTTGATGACATAGTACTCATAGGAAACGACATTCCAACCTTGCATGAAGTTAAGTCCTGGCTTGGAAAGTGTTTCGCTATGAAGGATCTAGGAGAGGATGCTTATATTCTGGAAATAAGAATTTTGAGAAATAGGAGTAGAAGACTAATTGGGCTTAGTCAAAGCACTTACTTGGATAAAGTGTTAAAGCGTGTTAGCATGGAGAATTCCAAGAAGGGAGAGTTACCTATCCAAAGCAATACCAAACTGAGTAAGACTCAGAGTCCAAGTACCGATGTTGAGATAGCATAAATGAGTCGAATTCGATATGCTTACACTGTTGGATCGATCATGTATGCTATAACATGTACTCATCCTGATGTGGCTTTTTCCTTGAGCATGGTTCGTCGATATCAGGGAAACCTGGGTAAAGCTCACTGGATAGCAGTAAATAACATGCTTAAGTATCTGTGAAGGACAAAGGACTCGGTCCTTGTGCTTGGTGGCACTGACGAATTAAGAGTTACAGGGTATAGCGATGTCAGCTTTCAGACTAATAGGGATAACTTCCATTCTTATTCATGCTGGGTGTTTACCCTAAATGGAGGCTCTGTGACTTGGAAAAGTTCCAAGCAGGAGACTGTGGTTGATTCAACGTGTGAGTCAGAGTATATAGCTGTGAGTGAAGCGTCAAAGGAGGATATATGGTTAAATAACTTCAGTTGAGACCTTGGAGTTGTATCAGCCATAAAGGAG